TACATTTGCTGTTCTTCATTTCCTATTTTTTTAGAGAAATATACATATTCACACATACGTGTATATGTCAATTATTCGGTTATCTGACTTTTCTCTGTCATGTTTCATAAATTATTCGTTCATGCTTTCGGATAATATCTAAAAAATAATGACAAACACAGTTTTTCTCAATGACGAGTGAATATAATATATTGAAAAGTTCTAGAACTACCCGTGTAGAAAAATTTCGTGGCGCTAGCTAGCAGCGCTAGACTGCATGTAAATTTACCATATGTATCTAGCACTGCTAGCTAGCGCCAAGAAATTTTTCTACACGGGTAACAATTCTAAAAAGATTTTTCCTTTTTAAAAAGTTGTCAATTTTTTCATAGTTAGATTTTTTTTTACTTATTTGTGCCAGTTTTCTATTTGTATATATTAACTTACGGTTTGGCAATATTAACAATTTATGAAGTAAAATTTTCCCACAATATTATATATATTATGTGTATGAAAAGTTTAATATATATCGTATACTCAATTACCAAAAATTCTTTTCTATTTAACGCTCTTCTACACAAAGGTAATTAATGCATTCATTTTGTGCAATTCGTGTACTGCAAAATATCGTTATAATATTGTAATATTGCACAACGATTTTGATTTTCAGTCACATACCCAGAAATTCAAGCGAAACTCACATAGTGTGACCTCTATTTTCATCGTTGACCGAAATCAAAGCTACAAAAAACCCATGATATATTTCTCTGCCGCAAAGCCGATTCCACCAAATCATATAACCCGTCTATCTATTTGTGTTCGTGTATACATATATGTATAAGTTTTCATATATATGTATATAGAAATCTCGTTGTGCATTCGTTTATATATACGTAGGTAGATGTATATAAAAGCAAAAAAAAAAAAATATCTATAGTTGTTGGTTATGTTACTATGTTAATGAAATACATGATTTTCTTGTTATTATCTGACAGAAAGGCTGGGTGGATTTGAAATATTACTGTCTGACTAGAAACTGACTTTAACTACTGCTAAAAAAACAATATCGATTTAAAATAGTTTTGTCTGACTAAACACTTACTTTTACTACTTAAACTTCTGCTAAAAACAACTATACGTGTATTCAAAATAATTTTGTGTAAATTAAAACTTTTCAAACTGATAAAAAAAAACTCCGTGAATACAAAATAGTTCTGTCTGACTGAGAATTAATTTTTTCTACTGACAAAAAACTACATGGATTCAAAATAGTTTTGTAAAACTAAAAACGGACTTGAACTACTGATAAAAAATTAAAAGGATTTAAAATATTCTGTCTGACTGGAAATTTACTTTTACTACTGACAAAAAACCTACATGGATTTAAAATATTTATGTCTAACTAAAACGGACTTACACTACTTATACTTTGCGACAAAAGGAAAAAGTATGTGAAATAAAAACTGCATTGTCTGACTAAAAACTGACTTCAACTACTGACAATAAACTAAGTGGATTTAAATTACCCTTGTCTAACTAAAAAATGACTTTAAATACTGATAAAGAAATATAACGATTTAAAATAATTTTAAATTAAAAATTTTTAACACATTTAAATCGTTGTTTGACTATAAATTGACTTTTACTACTGATAAAAAATTGCATAAATTGCAAATAGTTAAGTCTGACTTTAAATTGACTTCTACTACTTTTACTCAAGAAGCTATATAAATCAAAAAAATTCTGTCTGACTAAAAAAGGACTTTTACTACTGCTAAAAAACTACATGAATTTAAATTATTTCTATCTGACTATAAAATGACTTTAACTACGGTTAAAAAAAACTAAATGCATTTAAAGTAATTCTGTCTGACTAAAAACTGACGTTAACTACTGTTAAAAAGAAAATACATTTAAAATAATTCTGTCTGACTAAAAACTGACATTAACTACTGGTAAATATAGTAACTGGATTTTAAATATTTATGTCTGTCTAAAAATTGATTTTTACTACTGATAAAACTAAATAGATTCAAAATGCATTGTCCGCCTAAAAACTGACTAAAACTACTGATAAATTAACCAAATGAATTTAAAATAATTTTGTCTGACAAAACACTGACATTAACTACTGTTAAAAAAACTAAATGCATTGAAAATAATTCTGTCTCAGTTAAAACTGACTTTAACTACTGTTAAAAAACAAAAGACTTAATTATTAATTATATCTTCATTGTCTGACTGTAAACTGACTTTATCTACTGTTAATTATGTCTAACTAAAAACTGACATTCACTACTGATAAAAAACTACATAGATTTAAATTATATCTGTCTGACTATTGACTTTTACTACTGGTAAATTAAATAACTGGATTTCAAACAGTTCTGTCTGTCTAAAAATTGACTTTTACTACTGATAAAACTAAATTGATTAAAAAGACATTGTCCGATTAAAAACTGACTAAAACTACTGATAAATGAACCAAATGGATTTAAAATAATTACGTATGACAAAAAACTGACTTTAACTAGTGTTAATTATGTCTGACTAAAAACTGTCACTCACTACTGTTAAAAAACTACATGGATTTAAATTATTTCTGTCTGTTTATAAACTGACTTTAACTACTGTTAAAAAACTAAAAGCATTTAAAATAATTGTGTCTGACTAAACACTGACTTTAACTACTGATAAATAAAATAAATGGATTTAAAATAGTTCTGTCTCTCTGAAAATTGACTGTTACTACTGATAAAACTAAATAGATTTAGTTTTCGTTTCATTCTCCTTTACTAAAAAAAGATTTAAAATAGTTCTGTCTGACCATAAATTGACTGTTGCTACTGATAAAAACTGCATAGATTAAAAATTATTCTGCATGACTGAAAAAAAAATTTTAAATAGTTCTGTATGACTATAAACTATCTTTAACTACTAATGAAGAAACTAATTGAAATTAAAATAGTTCTGCCTTGCTAAAAATTGACTTTTACTACTGATAAAACTAAATCAATTTAAAATAGTTCTGTCTGACTATAAATTGACTTTTACTACTGATAAAAAAACTTATATTATTTGAAATAGTTCTTTATGACTGAAAATGAATTTTCACTATATTTACTATTAAAAAACAACTACGTGCATTCTAAATGATTGTCTGACTAATCACTGACTTTAACTACTGATAAATAAAATAAATGCGGATTTAAATTTAAACAGACAGAACTACTTTTCCTACTGATAAAACTAAATGGATTTAAAATAGTTCTGTCTGACCATAAATTTACTGTTACTACTGATAAAAAAACTTCATAAATTCCAAATAGTTGTGCCTGACTATAAATTGACTTGTATGACTGATTAAAAAACCATGTAAACTTAAAATACTTGTGTCTGACCGTAAATCGAGTTTTACCACTGATAAAAAAAATTCACGTTATTTTGTCTGATGAAAACTATTTTTTACTACTCGAATCGCAAAATTTGACGAAATTTTGAAACATATGATGCCTGACTAAACTATCGACATTCACTACTGAAACTCGATTTAATCATTAATATTTATAAAAAATCGCATTATAATTATAAAAATAGAATTTCACTTTGAATAAAGAAAGATGAGAGATGAATATTAAAAGTAGGTATATAGCATATGCGCATATACGGTTTATACGATCGACAAAAGGTAAACAGGTAAATTAATTAGTGACATTTGTGTAAAGCACTGTCACCAATCTTTACAGACTCGTGAATGTTAGTTAATAGCTTCATAAAACAATTTGCTGTGAAATGGTCACATTATCGCAGTAAAACGGTTAATATTGCAAGCAATAACTAATGTCACTGGTATTATGGGAGGAAATACTGCGACGCGGGACAATTTATAATACGGTTCTACTCTTTGGAAGAGCAGGAGACTAGACGTATATATACATATATATATGCCAGTATTTATGTTTGTACATTTAAATGCACTTTAATTCTCTTTGTTCATTACATTTATTATACTTTCTCATGGTTTTCTCTCTCTTACATTGTGTTCCTGAATGTATTTGTATTACGTGAAACAGATAATCATTATTGTTTTGTAGAAAAAATTTTAGATGAAGATAAAGAATTCAAATAAACAAATAATTAAAAAATTTTATTATTATTATTATTATTATTATATTATTATTTATTTATTTATTACTATTTTTTATTTCTATTTTTATTAATATTTTCATTATTATGATTATTATTGCTAGCTGTGTTAGCTCGACGGATAATAATAATATAATAATTTAATATATTTATATGCATATGATTAGTGTAATTATTTTAATTTATTACTCAAAGTGAAAATTAATACTAAATATAGTTTTTAAAAAATTTATTTTAATGTAACATTTTGACCTTACGTGTATATGTATAATTAATTTTATTATATTAAAAAATATTATTTAAAATAAAAATTGTTAATAATAATAATAATAATATTAATAATAATGTTAATATTATTAATAACAGTTTTTAAAAATCTATTTAAAAAACGAACTCGACGCGTCATCTTGTGGTGCGCGCCTTGTACTGTGTCTTAGTTTCTGTTTTATCGACCAAATTTGAAATTTCCCCCTCACAGTTAATTAATAAAAAAAAAAACAAATGAATTATAATTAAAACAAATTGAAATTTTTTTTTTTTGAAACATTTTATGTTTTTTTCATTTTCGTTATTTTTTACTTTTGTATTTAAATTATTTATTTCAGAAAGAAGAGAACGATATTACCAGCATTTGATTTTTTTCTTTATCGAAAATTATGATTATATTTATTCGTAAATCGTAATGGATATTTTTTTTATTATTTATAAATAATTTTATTATTTTTAATAATAATTGTTTAAGTCTTTTTTTTATAATTTTATCCCTTTTTTTAGGAAAATGTCATTTTAACTGCTAAGAAAAATGATTTTCTCAAGTTGGTAGCAGTGGGTGTGAATTATTTTGATTTTAAAAACGTGTTTGGCGTTACTATGGAAACGGAGTCATTGTTGAAAGCGTAAACAGAGAGAAATAACAGACAAACAAGTTTCTTTTAATCCTGCGTATTTTATTTTTTTGAATATTAGCTTTCGTTTTTTATTATAAATTTAGTGCAAATGGTGATTGTGTGTTTATTTTTTCAAACATTTTTCCAAGGACTAGAAAAGTAGAAAAAAGGTAATTTTATTTTATAATTCTTCAATCGAAAGATAATTCTATTCTTATTACACATTTTTTTTTGTTTTCTATTTTATTATCTAATTTAATAAATGAAAATTTATTTCAGAATTGATAAAAAAATTATAATATTAATTTTTCTTTTAGAATAAGAATGTTGCAAAAATATGGCAGAATTACACATAATTGGCCAAATAGCCTCTGCAATTGACTTTGAACAATTGCGATTAATGTGTAAATGGAGCTTCCACTCTGGTATTTTTTAAAATTCATATTAACACTTTTATTTTTTATATTTTCTACTCTTATCAATTAATTTTGTGAATTTAATTACTTTTTCCCTACTTTTTGTATTTTAATTTGTTTTACGAATTTATTCGTTTTAATTTCTTATTAGTTTTTCTTGACTAAATTTAAAAAAATTTGTTTTAAATAATTCTTCTTAAATTGATTTTCTTAATTAATTTTTTCTTAAATAACGTTTTTAATTAATTTTGTAAATTTTTTTTTAAATTAATTTTGTAAAATAATTTTTTAAATTAATTTTGTAAATTTATTTTTTAAATTCATTTTCTTAAATTAATTTCTTAAATTAACTTTTCTAAATTAATTTTTTTACTTAACTTTTCGAAATTAATTTTTAAAATCACCAGGAACGGGTTGGAAAGTATTGAATGGAAATCAAGAGGGACAAACTCAAGAATGTTGTGATTCTTATACAAACGAACCAGTTTGGGATCATCCATTAGATTTACATTACGGAACAACGTCATTACAAAATTCTCCAAAATTATTATTACAATTATTTTGCCGCGACAATTACAATAGAATTATATTTCTCGCTTACGGAGTTTGTACTGTTCCATTAACACCTGGTTTTCACGAACTCGAATGTCACACTTGGAAGCCAATTGGTAATTAACTTTAAACAAAGAATTTCTTAATTTAAAAAAAAAATTTTTCCACTTTTACTGCATTTATTTGTTAACAATTTTTAATATTTATTTTATTTCTAAAATAATTTTTTTTAATAACATTTATTTAAAAATAATAAATAAAGTAACTGATAGGCAAATAAATAAATAATAAAAATTAAAATATTAAACAAAATAACAATAATAAAAAGTAAATAATAAAAATTAAAGTAAAAAATGAAAATGAAAAAAAATTCCAGGAAATTGGCAAGATAGATTAAAGGACAAATTTCTTGGTCTGACATTACAACTGAAGACACCAAGTATCCTAGTGAATACACAAGATAGATTTGAATTATTAACAGAAAGTATGGGAGTGGTAAAGATAAAACTTCATATTCTCAGTAGAAATTTCGAAAAATTTGGATGTGATCTTTAAAATTAAAAAAATAAAAATTTTGAGAACAAATTTAGAAATAAAAAAAAATGGCACTATCTGCCTTTGGATATTATTATTTATTAACGTTTTTCATTGTTGGCAATGAGTGCATCGACATTTCTTCATTGGATGACATTACCGAGGCAACGTGTACTGAAAATTGTGAAAACGTGACTGAAATTTCAACTTCTGAAATTTACACTCAAAGCGTTGATGTCACAAAATTTACCACAAATGAAAATACCGATTATGATGATGAGACAACGGAGAATATTAATATTCTCCTGGCAAAGAAACCGCAAAAATCACTAATACCAATTGTACCAAAAAAATCGAATAATACCGAAGTTCCCGTTAAACAGAAAGCCCCTGCTAAATTGGAAAGAACAAAGGCGGAAATTTGCGAATGTGATTTGCAGGTGAAAAAAATTTGGAAAACAAACTGAAAAAATTATTTCGATTTTTTTTTAAATATTATTTTACTTATAATTAGAATTTTTGGTACTTCTCAGTATTTTTACTATTTTTAGTATTTTTGGTATTTTTAGTACTTTCAGTATTGTTGGTACATATTTTTTTAATTTTAGTATTTATATTAATATTTATTTATTTTTTTTAGTGTTTTCTAAATTTATTTACTTATTTATTTACTCAAAATTGTTGAGTAATGTATTGACAGTAATATTACTTTTATCCAGGTGTCATCGTGTGACATAAATTGTTGCTGCGATTTGGATTGTACAGATTCGCAGCTAGAAACTTTTTCATTTTGTTCCAACGTTCATGAAAAACTTTACGACAACAGATATTGTTACAGAAAAAACTTTTTATTTCACAACACTTCAAAATTCATTCTCGAAAAAGTAGCGGACAATTTATTCTGCATTGTTTATGACAATTTACCTCCAATTTATACCGTCAACAATAATGTCGTAAGTTACTTTTTTTTATATAAAAAATATATTTACAAAAAAAAAATTAAAAATATTTTCTTACATATTGAAAAAAATATTTACCATAACTAAATTATAAACAAACTAAATTTTACAACTGAAAATATAAAATTAAATTATAAAAAATGTATTTTCCGAACTAATTAAATTATTCGGGATAAAAAATATTTTCCATTTTGTTAAAAATATAAGAATGCACAAAAAATATTTATAAACCAAATTATGAATGAAAAATGCTGAAGAAAATTATCAATTAAAAATCGCAGAATTTTAAAATTAATAATGCAAACAAAAAAATATTTATAAAACGAAAATATTAATCTGAATAAGCAAAACTAATTTATGAAAGAAAAATAATTCCAAACAAAAAAATAATTATAATCAAAACTATGAGGAAAAAATGAAGAAGAAAATTATCAAATAATGGAGAATTTATTTTATAAATAAAAAAGTAGTAAATTATGACTTTAAAAAATGCGACACTAAATATTTATGCAGAAATATTTTCAAACTAACTAAAAATTCTTTTGAAATAAAAAAATTTTCAATTTCTTGCAATCGCAATAATATACAAACAAAAAATTATTTATAAATCAAATTATGAATAAAAAATACAGATTAATAATTAATTAATAATTAATTAATAATTAATTAAAAATTGCAAAAACTGAATTATAAATTGTGGAAAAATAACAAAATTATCAATTTAAAAAATGCATAAATAAACTATTAATAAAAAAATATTTCCAAACTAACTAAATTATTTACAATAAAAGAAATTTAAATTTTCTACAATAATAATACAAACAAAAAATATTTATAAACCAAATTATGAATAAAAATGGCGAAGAAAATTATCAATTGAAAAATGTAGAAAAAAAAAATTATGAACTAGAAAAAAGAATATAATTAATATTTATGCAATATTCATGTACTTAATATAATTAATTTTTATATAATTAATTTATAGTAACATTAATTCAATTTGCAACAAAAAAAATAATTCCCGATTTAAAAAAGTAAATAAAAATGTAAATTTGTTTTTTTTCCCTGTAAATGAAAAGAAGATGAAGAAAACTTTTTCTCTTTCAGAGCATTCAAAATGAGAGGGACTTAGATAAAGCGATAGGGAAAATAGATCCGTACAATTTTAAATGGGATTTAGAAGCAACATGGATGGATCCGAAATTTCAGACAAAGGAACCTTATCGTCATGGCGATACAATTTGGAAACTTGATAAAACTTTGATAGAACCTCTAGGTAAGGGGTGAATTGAAATTTGACGCACTTTAAAATTTAAAAAGAGAGTTTTTGTGTCAATGGGTGGGAGGGAAAGAGAGAGGTGGGGAGGGGGGGAATTGAAAAACTTTTAAAACATTTTTTAACGAAATTATTTTTATTCTAGAATTATTGCAAACTGGCTTCACGGGTCTGTGTAGTTTTACAAAAACTGTCAAGTTCCTTGAAAATTGGAAAGACTCGTGTCTTCAAATTAATTTATCGAATAATAATACTTATCTCTTTCCTGAGAGATATTATAATTTTTCGATTATAAAATCGCCTCGTCTCCTCGATGCGATCAAGTTCAATCGATATCAGGTAAATATTTTAAAAAAACAATTTTTTTCGGTAGCATAATAAAATTTAAACTTATTAATTTTTTAAATTATTGATTACACTTTTTTTAAACTTTTTGAAAATAATTAAATGATTTTAAAGAATTTTATCAAAACGTTAAAAAGTAAAAAAGTAATAACTAATTATTTAATTGTATTTATATAAATTTCTGTTTATTTTTTCTTTCTAGAAATGCTCGCAAATGTTTTGCGCACCAATCGAGTCAAACTATTGTCTCGACTCATGGACAAATTGTACAAAAAATAAAACAAATCCCACATCATGTTCAAATGAAAAATGTCAAAACGTGATAAAAAATATTCGTTACATAATTAAGCACAATGGAACAATGGGAATAATCGATATTCAATTATATTTCCAAGAAGCAAATGTAACGGAAAAATTTTATCAAAAATTCGAAATCATTTACGAATGGTTCAATGATAATAAGACAAAAAATTTCCAAAGAAGCGGAAATCCTGGTTACACTGCGGGAAATCCAATTTTCATCGGTAAACTAATGACAATTAATTCCACAATATTGGGAACAAATAATATTCACATTGACAAAAATGATAAATATTTAACACTACCAATTGCCAAGACAAACACCGGCATTTGTGACAATGACAAAAAATACATTGTCAATTTTGGTGAGAATTTAAAATTAAAATGTAAACATTCTTTAAAAGTGAAATATTTTTCTCAATCAACATGCATTGAATTGCAAAATGCAATTTTTCATAAAATGCTAAAGAAATCATTTTTAAATTTAACCGATATTAATGCAAATAAAATGCAAATTTCACGCAATGGCAATGTTATTGATCGTAATATGTCAAATTGGATTGACGTTCATTTCAATCAATTGCCAAATATAATGCCAAATTCATTGATAAATGAGGAGAAAATTTCTTGTACAAATTTAATAACATCGATGAGAATTGATGTGGTGCATTCAATTTTATCGAAACCGGAATTTATTGACAATCATGTAATATTAGGTTTTGGCGTTACATTTGCCAATTCAACGACAATTTCTTGGTTAAAATGTAAAACAAAAAATTGTGCTGAAAATTTAGTGGTGGATATTATTAGTTATGTATCGTTTCACGATGCATCGAAACCGTCGAAAATTTATTTCGCCAGTGGACCAAATTTAGATATAAGTTTACCTTACGATTTCTTTTATCCATTTCTCAGTAATTCGAAGGGAAGGACAATTTATTTTGACAATATTCTCGTCATTTGTTTATTTATCGCTGTAATTATTGTTGGTAAATAATTTTAGATAATAACTATAAAATAAGAAAAAACGAATAACGCACAGAAAATTATTGAATTTAGTAAAAAATAAGTATAACTTACAAATAAAGTAACTGAAAATAAATAAATTATTATTATTATTACTATTTGTTATTAATTTTATTACTATTATTATTTTTATTAATATTATTATTTACTTTTACTATTTAATTTTATTTTCATTACACTTTAATTACTTTTATTATTGAACGTAGTAAAAGTAAGTAACTTACAATTACTAACGAAAAAATAAGCAAATTATTATTATTTTAATTATTATTATGAAAATTACTAGTTTTTTATTTATTTTATTATTTTCAAATATCAACTTCAATTTTTTAATAATTCCATATTTAAAATTGAAAAATTCACTTATTAAGCACATAAATAATTATTATTGTTTATTATTTTCAACAAAATTTTTAATTTTAAATTTAAAACTCTTCGTAAGAATTCAATTATTTTTAATACAATTTTTATAAAATTTTTTGAAAGAATTCAATTTTTTTATAATACATAGTAAAACTTTTCTCTGGAATTCAATTATTTTTAATACAATTTTTATACAATTATTCGAAAGAATTGAAATATTTTTAAAAGTTCGAATAAAATTTTTTCAAAAAGTTCAATTATCCTCAGAAGTTTTAATAAAATATTTTATATTTAAATTAAATTATTTTCATAAATAATAAATTTCTTCGCGTGAAGTCAATTATTTTCATTAAAATTTTTAGAGAATACAATTTTTATAAAATTTCTCGAAAGAATTGAATTATTTTTAAAAGTTCGAATAAAATTTTTTTAAAAGAATTCTATTATTCTCAAATGTTTTAATAAAATATTTTATATAAATTAAATTATTTTCATAAATAGTAAATTTTTTCTCATGAAATAAATTATTTTCATTACAATTTTTAAAAAATTTCTCTAAAGAATTTAGCTATTTTCAAAAATTGTAATAAAATTCTGGAAAGAATTGAATTGTTTACAAATAATTTTTTGTAAAATTAAATAATCAAATTTTTAATAACAATTATTAACAGACACGATTATTTTTAAAAATTAAAAGAAATTTTTTCGTAGAATTGAACAATTTTGAAAATTTTTAATCAATATTATTCTTCGAAAAATGTACATTATTTTCAAAAAAAAACTTAAAGATTTTCATAAGAATATAATTATTCAATGTTTTCAGAAAAATTTAATTTTTTATTTCCTTGGCGTTTGACTGATTTCTGAAATTTTTGAATTTGATATTAAATTATTTACAACAGCAATAATTTTGTTAAATAAAAATTTAAATACTTGTTAATTTTTTTAAACAGGAATTAGAATTTTTTTAATTTCAATTTCATATTTGAATTTAATTTCAATTGCGAAATATTTAATTATTTCTATAAAATAATTGCTATTGTAAATTTTCCAAAATTCAATTATTTTTACAATTTTTATAAAAATTCTTCTCTAAATCAATTATTTTCAATAATTTGCTTAACAATTTTTGAAAATTCTAATATTTAATTTAAAAAAAATTAATTTTTTTATAACAATTGTAACTGTAAGTCTTCATGGTTCTAATTTAAAAGTTATTAATTGAGGCAAATTATTAAAAAAATATTACTAATAAAAAAATTTATTTTTAAAAAATGTTAATAACAAAATTCCTAAAATTAATTTTTAAAAATATTTCTAAATCTTTCAAAGATTTAATTAGTAATATTTTTGGGAAATAATTTATTTTTTTTGAAAATATGAAAAAATAATCAGGTTTTTAAAAAATTGAAGATTATTTTCGAATCTTAAAAAATTACCGTAAAAAATCCTAAGAATTAGGGTTTTAAAAATATTGTCATGGAATTTTTCAAAAATGATTGAATTTCTTAGAAGAATTTTTTGACAATTTAAAAAACTAATTAAGTTATTGAAGAATTTTAATTATTAAAAATTTTAAAAATAATTTTTTTCCGCATAATTTTAATGTATATTTCAATGTAATAATATAATTAAAAATATTGAAAATAATTGAGTTGTAAAAAATTATAATGAAAAAATTTAAAAAATTAATTTTATAAAAAATATTTTAATAAAATTTTTTATATCTAATTTTTAAATTTTCTTTTTCATAATCTTCATTTGAAGAATTTCGTGCAAAAATTTTGAAAATTCAATGAAGTTTCAAAATGTGTAATTATTTATTTTTATTATTATTATTAATTTGTACTATTTTTTTTTTATTTTTATTTATTATTATTTATTGTCATTTATTCCATAAAATTTCGATTTTAAAGAAGAAATTTAATTTTCCCCCCTCTTCTGTCTGCGCAAGCGCCGAATGGTGGCAACACTGTACAAATTTAAAAATGAAATTTATCCACTCTCATGAAAGTTATTAAAAATTCTTCCCGTTCTTCTTAATAAAAAATTATACTGACATTTTTTTTCAATCATTTTTGCAAAACAATTCCCCTGGGAAATAATTTTCATTTTGTAACAAAAGTAAAAAGTATTTTTAATTTTCTAGAAAAATTTTCCCCCTAAAGAGAAAGTGATATATTTTCCCGCCTACGTTGACAGTGTTGCCAATTCGTTATTAAGGCTATGCGCAATATATTAAGGGCATTCACAATCAACTTCAATTTTTAGAATATTGGTGATTTGTACATAAATCTGAAGTCGTCTTTTCTCCATCAGCTGTTAAATGTCAAAAAAAATTAGATGAGAAATTTTTTTTTCGTTTTTTTGAGAAAATTTAAATAGAAAATAATTGTTGTTTTTTTTGTAAATAATGGCGTGGTTATCGGGACTTGCTGGAAAAGCTGAAACTCTATTGAATAAAATCGACCAAAATACCGCAGCAGTATTAAGTAAAGAGAAAAATGATCATTTAACGGAGGTTATGTGGATGCCACCAAATGAAAAGTGAGAATAATTTTTTTTTTTCGTTTTTTAGACAAGAAAAATTTATTAACTCATTTTTTTGCGTCTGTCATTTATTTTCGTTCCTTGTTTGAATTCGAAATTTCATTCTTCTATTTATTTCGTAATAAATTATTGTTGAGAATAAATTGAAAATATGGCCAATGTAGAGAGAGTTTTTTACTATTTATTATGCATCTTTTTGCCGATAGTAATTATTATTATTTTTAATTTGTATTTTTACGTAATAATTTTATTGCTATTGTAAACCACTCTTTATAATCAATAATATTAATATAAAGATTTACATAGAAAATTTTTATATAAAACTTTTAAAAAATAGAAAAATTTTGTTATAATAAAATTATTTATATTTATTTCTATTATACAAATAAAAAAATAATTAATGTTAATTTTCATTTTTAGTTCCGAAAATATTGTTCACGATATACCGAGAAATTTTTCGTACAATTCGATTGTAAATTCTGACATATCGCCACAGAGGAATGTAAATGTTATTAAAGATGACGAATTAATTACTTATTTAAATACACCAATTGTCACTCCAACGAGAAATTTGAAAAACACTGAAAATGGGGATTTAATTCTTCATTTGCCACCCGATGAGCCAATTTTGCAAATCGAAGGCGATTCTTCTGAAACGTCTAGTGTAAAAAGTGTCGATGCAGTTTTTCATATTGATGAATTAACATCACAAGTGAATAATTCCAGTCCAAGACATAACGATAATCATACACGTGAATTATTGGATATTTCCGAAAGTTTGCCAGTTGGTAAGTATGAAAAATTTCCCTCAACTTAAAATTTTGTAAATCATCTGAATTGTGTTGAAAATAACTAAATTCTTATAAAAATTTTTGACAAAAATTACGAAAAAAAATAATTGAATTTTCGCAAAGAATTTTATTATTTATAAAAAAAAATAATAAAATTAAAATAATAAAATTGTTGCGAAGAATATTATTATAAGATTTTCGAAAATTTCTATAATTCCTATTATTATCTACTATATTATTTTACTTATTTATTATTAATGCGTGTAATAATTAAAATATCCAATAAAAATTTACAATAGATGCTTCAACGTCTGTAAATGATGAATTAAGTTTCGCTGGACGAAAAGTGGAGTCAACAAAATTATTTCCCAACAACAATGATGGTGCAATTACAAAGAAACAATTACGATTTCAAAAGAATTCTGACGACAAAAAAGGTCTAATTGACAAACAACAGACGGATTATCAAAAGGAAATTAATGCCTTGAAAGATAAACTGCAAACGTTTGGTATTGAGAGAATACAATTTTCAAAAACAATTACTGAACTACAGTCAAATTTAGAAAGAAATCGTTCGGAATTAAATTTGACACGATCTGAATTGGAGCAACATCGTGCAAGGGCATTGAAAACTCTACAGGAAAAAGAGAAATTAATTACTGAATTGAGAGGTAATGCAAATTCGGGACTCGATGAAGCATCGACAATGGAACTTAATCAATTGAGGTTTTTATATGAATTTATGATAAATTTGATCAATTTTTGTAGGATTTATGATGAAATATAAAAAGTGGGGTGAAAGAGAAAAACCATGTGGGAAAAAAATAAATTTGGGTTTTAATAGTTAAGAGTATTGAATTGTTTTGCAACAAAATACCAAATTTTCAATATAAAATACAGTTGCATTTTATATTAAAAATGTGGTATTTTGTATTATTTTTATTATTTCGATTTTTTTATTGTAAAAAATAACAATAGACAAATCTTTCAAAAATTATTCTTGAATAATTTTTCTAATTTAATTTTCCTTATCTACACAATTGATTTTGATTAATTAAAATTTTGGTGAAATTTAATTGCAAATATAATTAATTTTTTCGAGTATTTGAAAAAAAATTTGAAACTCGAATTTTGGAGAATTTTTTATCGCAAATTTTAAAAATAATTGAATTCTCAAAAATTTCGATCACAAATATCTTCAAATAAAAGTTTGAAAACACAAATTTTAATGAAATATCTTTAAATGAAAATTAATGAAAATTAGATTTAAAAAATTGAATTAAAATATTAAAAAAGAAGGAATTCTTATCATTTTTTAAAATTCAATTATTTTCAATATTTTTAATAACAAATTTCAGAAAATTGAAATATCTACGGAAATTAATTACCAATATTGAGATTGTTTAGAATTTTCGAAAAATACCTATAATTGAAAAATTATTAATTAAATTAGAATTGAGAAATTAATTAAAAACTATTATTTTTATGATGTGAAAAATAACTTAAAGTGTAAGTTTAAAAAAGAAAATTAATGAAAATTAGCTTTCAAAAATTGGATTAAAATATTTTCCAAAAAAAATAATTCTTAGAATTTTTTAGTAACAATTTTTTTAAATTAAATTATTTTCATTTACATTTTTCGGAAAATACAAAAGTAAAAAAAAAAATAATTACCTACATTAAAATTTTCTAGAATTATCAAGATATAGGAGTTCAACAAATTTTTATTTATTAAATTTTAAAAAACTTGAATTAAAAAATTTGATTTTTTGAAATATTTCATTAAAATTCTTGAAAATTCAATTTTGGAGAATCTTTTATTCCAATTTTTGAAGAATAATTGATTTTTTCCAGTATTTTATTAGGTTTTTTTAAAATTAAATTTTGGAGAATTTTTTAATGCTAATTTTGAAAATAAATAGATTCTTAAAATTGTTAATGATAAATCTTTAAATAAAAATTAAGTGAAAATGAAAATTAACAAAAATTAGATTTAAAAAATAATTCTTAGAATTTTTTAGTAACAATTTTTTAAAATTAAATTTACAAAATTTTTTATTGCAAATGTAAAAAATAATTGATTTTTTCGAGTATTTTATTACGATTTTTTAAAAATTAAATTTTTCAGAATTTTTTATCGCACATTTAGAAAAAAATTTTAATGAAAAAATCTTCAAGTGTAAATTTAAAAATGTAAATTAATGAAAATTAGCTTCTAAAAATTGTATTCAAATATTTTTGAAAGAAGTAATTCTTAGAATTTTTTTAATCTAATTTTTCAAAAATGCAATATTTTTTAGAAACTTTATCAAATTTTAATTATTTTGAAAAGATGTTTGCAAATTTCAATTATTTGGAAATTTTTCAATTTTATATATAGTTGAACAACTGTCTTTCAAAAATTATTAAATAATTAAATTAAATAATTTAAATTAATAATTTTTTTTAAATTAATTTAAAAATTATACCTTAATAATTGTTAGAAAAAAGCATGAACATTTATAGAACGAAAATTATTAAAAATAATTGATTTAGAGATGAAGTATAGTTAAAAATTGTAGAAAAAAAATTTTTGAAACTGTTTCAGTTGTAATTTTTTTAAATTATTAAATTGCAGAAGGTATTAAATTGAAATTCTTTTAGTTTTATTTCCGGAAAAACAAATAAGAAGTATTTAAATTTAGAAGATATTTTTGGCCAAATTAAAATTAAATTAAATTAAATTTATTATGTAAATTAAATATTGAATTAAAAAATTAAATTAAATAATAAATCCAAAAACTTATTCTTTTATAAAGAAGTATTTAAATGTTTATTTAGCAAAATTATTCAAATTTATTAATTGAATTTGGAAATCAATGAAAAAGGGGAAATAATAATTGAAATACAAAATAACATTTTTGTGACAACACTGAATTAAATAAACGACTTTTTTTGTATTTTTAATCGACTAAAGCGACTTTTTTGCGCCTTAAAAAATCTTTTTCACTCCACTCATAATAAAATAATAAAAAATAAAATTATAAAATTGTAAAAAAAATTGTATTCTCCTAAAGACAAGAGAGAGAAGTTCTTCGTGAGGAAAATCAAAAATTTTGTGAACAATTGAGATTGTCAAGAGAGGAATTAATTGAGGCGGATTTAAAATTGGAAAATTCTCGACAAAAAGTAATTGATGTCAGTAAACAGGCACAGGAGACAATTGCAACTGAGAGAAGAAGGCGAATCGACGCTGAAGATGAAGCAAGACAACGTACAGAGGTTGTTTTTCCGAAACTCGATCTGAATAAAAAAAAAGAAGAGAATTTAAATATCAAAAATAATTCAAGGAGAAAAGAACTGAAACAAAAGAACTTATAATAAGAATACTTAATACTTAATTACTTAAAAATACTTAATAATTAATATTTAAGAATACTTAATACTTAATTACTTAAAAATACCTAATAATTAATATTCAAGAATACTTAATACTTAATTGATTAAAGATACTTAGTAATTAATATTTAAGAATTTTTAATACTTAATTACTTAAGAATACTTTAATTTAATTATAGGAATAGGTAAAAAAAAGTTTTTTTCCTTTTAGGAAGCGAAGTCTATAAAGGAGGAGTTTATTCTTCAGGAAAACAGCACTTCGTCAAAATTGAGAAAACAAGAGGCGGAAATTTCTAGATTAAGATCACAATTATCGGCTGCTTTGACTCCAAGCAGCGAGGTCGAATCTCGATTAGCGACACTCACACAGACTTTAGTCCAAAAGCAACAAGCTTTAGAAAGTTTAACAACCGAGAGAAATGCTCTGCGATTGCAGTTAGAAAAAATAGAGGTACTACTTTTGGAAAAATCGTAATTAATTAATTTTAATTTCATTTATTATAATTATTAAAATTATAATTGTATTTATTAAAATAACATTGCAAAAAAAATTATTTGATTTCAATAATCAATTACTTGATTATAATCAATTAAATATTTTCTTGAATCAAATAATTTTTAATTGAGTCAATGAAATGGTATTTGAACCAATAAATTGAGTATTTAAAGCAAATATAAAATTGACTCAATTAAAAATTATTTGTTTCAAGTGAATATTTAATTATTGATAATAGTCAATAATAGTAATCGAAAGAAAAAAATTAATTTTTTTCAGTATATAATCATAGTTATTAAAATTATAATCGTATAGTTATTAGAATTATAGTTTAATCAATTACAACAATTAATATATTTAATTAATACAAAAAATTTAATTTAATTTAATTTATTTAATAGAAAAAAAGAAAAAAATTGTTTAAATGAGATTTTAGAAAAAATATTTATTAACTAGTTGAAAGTTTGCTGATTAGTTTTTCATTTATTTTCAGATAGAGTACAGAAATTCGAGAAAAACTTTATTATACAGTAGTAACGACACTGACGATGCAAAGGCTCAGGTTCCTTCTTTTCTAATGGAAACACCATTCGACACTAGTGTCACTCGTCGAGTGAAAAGAGCTTACTCCTCATTAGATGCAATTAGCATACGAACTGGTGTTTTCTTACGACGATATCCTTTAGCAAGAATTTTAGTATTGATCTACATGGTTTGTATTCATCAGTTCAAAATTTAACAAAATGAGTCGATTAATTTTAGTCAATCATTTCTTTCTCAGAACACTTTTAGAGAAATGCAGATTTTTCATATAAAAATTAAATCTCAAAATTTTAATTTAATTCAAACAAAATTTTAATAAATTCCAATTAATCGCAAGTTTTGAAAATTTTTGAAAAATAATTAAATTTTTCAAAAGAATTTTTAGAAAATATTTTTAAAAAAATTTTCAAGTTTTTGAAGATATTTTAATAATGGAAATATATAAAAGATCAATATTTCTTCAAAATTTTAATGATTAGTCGAAAGCAGTTGATTTTTTAAAACTAACGAAACTAATCAATTTTTTTAAAGAATGTTTTAAAGCAAATTTTTATTAATTTTCATTTCTTTTACTTTTTATTTGAAGATATTTGTGAATTTTTAAAAAATCATTTATTTTCAAAATTTACATTAAAAAATTCTCCAAAATTTAATTTTCAAGAATTTTAATGAAATACTAGAAAAAATCAATTATTTTCTAAAGTTTGAATAAAAAATTCTATAAAATTTAATTTTAAAAAATTGTTACTAACAAATTCTAAGAATTCTTTTTTTAAAATATTTTAATATAATTTTTTAAATCTTATTTTAGTTAAATTTCATTTTCATATAATTTTTTTTTGAAGACTTTATTAAAATTTTTAAGCATTCATTTATTTTTAAAAATTTGCATTAATAAATACTCAAAAATTTAATTTTCAAAAATGTTAATAAAATATTTGAAAAAATCAATTATTTTCTAAATTTGCAATAAAAAATTCCATAACATTTAATTTTAAAAAATTGTTTTGTTAGTAACAAATTCTGAGAATTCTTTTTTTTTATTATTTTAATATAGTTTTTTAAATCTAATTTTAGTTAATTTTTATTTTTATATAATTTTTGTTTAAAGATTTTTCATTATAATTTTTTAAAATTCATTTATTTACAAAATTTGCATTGGAAAATTCTCCAAAATTTAATTTTCAAAAATCTTAATAATAAAAATACTCGGAAAAATCAATTATTTTCTAAATTTGCAATAAAAAATTCTATAAAATTTAATTTTAAAAAATTGTTACTAACAAATTCTAAGAATTCTTTTTTTAAAATACTTGAAAACTTTAAAACTTTTTACTTTTTATTATATATTACTTTTTTTTTTAATTTCATTACATAATTTTTATTTGAAAATTTTTTATTAAAATTTTTAAGAATTCATTTATTTTCAAAATTTGCATTAAAAAATTCTCAAAAATTTAATTTTCATAAATCTTAATAAAATACTGGAAAAAATCAATTATTTTCGAAAATTTGCAATAAAAAATTGTACAAAATTTAATTTTCAAGAATTTTAATGATATATTGCAAAAAAATCAATTATTTTTAACAAAGTCTTCCAAAATTTCAATAAAATAAAATTTGTTCAATTATAATTCAAAATAAAAATCATAAATCTCGAAAATTCTAGAAATTTTTAATGTAGGTAATTATTTTTTGTTGATATTTGTATTTTTAGAAAAACGTAATTAAATTAATTTAATTTTAAAAAATTGTTAACGAAAAAATTCTAAGAATTCTTTTTTTTCAATATTTTAATATATTATTTTTTAAATCTAATTTTTGTTAATTTTCATTTTCATATAAAGATATTTTATTAAAATTTTTAAGGGCATTTGAAACATTATGACGTCACAGTTTATGCAAAGTGCGTGTTCTAAAACTGTGACGTCATCATGGTTTAAATATTCCCTTAAGAATTCATTTATTTTCAAAGTTTGCAATTAAAATTCTTCAAAATTTAATATTTGAAAAATTTTAATAAAATACTTCTAAGGGCATTATTTAACTATTATGACGTCACAATTTGTGCAAAGAATGTGTTTAAAAAACTGACGTCATAATGATTCAAATGCTCTTAAAAAAAGTCTATTATTTTCAATAATATTTTACAAAATTTCAGTTAGTTAGAATTTTTAATTATATATATTTCGAAATTATATTATTTTATATATTATTTTTCTATTTAATTATCTTAAAAAAATGATTCAAATTTAAATATTTATAAATATTTGTTTTTTAAAACAATAGAATATTCTTAAATTCTTAAAACAATATAATAGAAATGCCAAGTAAGATTGTTAAGGCCCTTTTCTTATACACTCAATGAATTACTATTAATTACTAGTATTATTAATACACAGTAAGATAATTATTAATTAATTAATAACATTATTAGGACTTTTATTAATTTTCAATTAATTAATAACATTATTAACACATTTATTAATTTCCAGTCAATTAATAATTCTTTGAACATTATAAATCACCTGAAATTATCCCAAATTAATCTAATTTGAAACATTTACAAAGCATTCAATTATCGTAGAATTAGAAATTCCTTTTCAATACGAAAACTACAATAAGCATTTCGTAAACAGTGACATTTACATAATTAATTAATGCAATAATTTAAATTAACAACTTCTAGACAGAATTTAATTTGTTTCCAGGGACTGCTTCAATTATGGGTGCTTATTGTTCTCTTTTCTCAATCACCAGAAGCTCACTGATTGTCTTCAACAAAAGTGATTAAAAAAAAAATCAATAATTCTTTGTTAATACCTGTAGTTTGTTATGTCTATAATTTAAATTTATCTATTTTCTATATATAATATAGTATCCAAAAAAAAGTATCTAGAATACGATTATAATGTACAGAGAGAGTATATTTTTTACTTGCAAAAAAAAGAATTTTTGTCGTTAAAGTATGAGAATAAATAATAAAACCATTGTTTTTAATTCAATATCTTTTTATTTATTATCGCATCGTTTTTTTCTTCTTTTTTTTTGATATAGTGTATATAATACTTATGTAGATGATGAATCATAGACAGAATTACAGTGAATTTTTTTTTCGCAATAAATAAATAACTTATTTTATTAATATAGTATTTAACGTAAAATATATAATCGAGATCTTTAAATATTTTTCGAACATTTTTAAAATAGTTTTTAGATACTCGGCAGTAGTAACTAAAATGAACTGGAGTAGAAAAAAAAAATTGAATGTACAGTATTTTTAATTGAGCATTTGCTCTGTATTTGAATATTAATTATTATACTGGTATGTATTTGATTTTTTAGTTTTAACAGAGAATAGACTATTTTTTTTTTTGAGATCTAGTAATGTGTCTATAAGGACAATAAAAATACCTTTGTCATTTTTTTAAGAAGCTTAATCTCTAAATTCTTAGTATCGAGGATTTTCTAATGCGTGCAAAAATCGCAAAAAAAATTATTCTTTTTGTTATTTTTGGTTTCTCTTTTTATGTTACAGTGATATGCAAAAATTTTTTTTTATGCACATTTTTTTTTTTGAAAATTATTTTATATATATTTAAGTGCAATTACCTTGCTGACTAACATTATTTATCTAAATAGAATATAAACTTATTTGCGAAGTGATTTTTCGCATTTTTTTCTTTTAAACAACTGGAGTTTGTAATTTACATAAATTATACAAATGTTTGAATTTGTACAGATAATACTTGAAAAATTGATTTTTAAATAATAAAAGTGTTATGTACAAAAAAAAAAAAATGTTTTTGGGAAGTCGAAGCCAAAAGAAAAAAAAATCTTAATTCTTAAATTTTTTTTTCTTAATTAATCAAAGCGAGAGGAAAAATTAATTTTTTTTCGGTTTTTAAATTCTATTTGCTTTGAAAGATTAAGACTAAGACATTTATTAGTGTATCTAAAAATAGATACCGGGGTATAATTTTTATCACATATGTTTGATTCAGTGCTGATTAAATATTTATAATTTCTAAATTATTGTTGGATGATTATCACTCGCTCGGTAAATATCATCATTAAAATTATTTCACATCTTTTTTTTTCTTGGCGTTTCTCTCACATCTTCCCGCAAAATAAATATGATCCACGAGTTTTGAACTTTCAACTATAAACGAAATATTAAATATTTTCCAGAAATTAATGTTTGCAAATGAAATTAAAAATTTAATTTTTGCTTCCTTGAGGAAGAAGCTTTTTAATAGCAAAATTATTAGAATAAAAATTTAATTTGAAGAAGATATCAATTAAATCTCGTTCATTTGAATTTAGGATCATAAATGAAAATTTTTTTCCAACTTCTAAATTTTACAATTAATTTTAATTTAATTTTTTTTTGAAAAAATATACATTTTAATCGTTTTGCCCATCGATTAATTAATTTTTGTAAATAATTATTTGATCAATCGTGGCTGTTAGCCGGTTTTTTCTTCATAATATTTTTATAATAACTTTTACAATATTTTTTGTCAATAATATATTGTAAAGTAACGAACATTTTTTTTCTCTCAGGAACAAAGCCGCTTTTAATGGATTAAAATAAGCAGCAATTTTTTTTTTCACAGCCAGCGTTATTCACTCGGCATTTGAATATTAAAAAAATCATTTCTAAACTATCTCTGAATAGCAAAATATTGTTTTAATTTAAAAAATGTGAAAAATTCTCTTACTTTTCTCTTTCATTCTTTCTCTTGGTTTTTTTTTGTTTGTATATTATAATAAATATTTCAAAATTGTATGTATTATAATATATTCGTAATATAACATAATTTATTTTATATTTTCTACGAATAATATAAAATTCTACCCTATGTTATACTACCCAACTTTGATATTTCATATTATTATTATTATTATAGAAACGAATTAATTTACATTTAAATTTACATTGTTTTTTCTTCATTTTTTTTTTCTTCACAGGAGAAAAATTTAATACCGAAAGTCTTTTAAAATTGAAAAGCGAGAAGAGCTTCGTGGGAATTTTTTTTAAGCGTTTGTCCTAGTGACAACTACTTCACTAGACGATGAAACTTTATTTAATTCACGATCAGTTCTTGAATCATTTATAAATTTCGAATGAAATTTAGAATCTTGATTCGTTTTTTCTTCTGTTTTTGAATTAAATGATTTTGAAGAAATTTTAGAATTTTCTTTAAATAACGATGATGACCTAGAATTATTATTTTCTGTCGTGGATGAAACTTGACTATTACTTTCATGGTAAGAAATATTCTCGTTCTCTGATTCATTTCCTGAATTGTTCATCATCATTGAGGAAATGAAATTTTGTGTTTCCTCTCGAAGAGCTTTCACTCGCCTCTGTAAAATGTGATTTCTTCTCACGAGGGCAATCGTCCGAATGAAAATGTCAACGAGACCTGTTTAAGTGCAAAAAATTTCTAAATTATTAAAGTGGAATTATAATTATCAAATTACAATTTTCGTAATAATAATAATAATTATTTATTTATAATAATTATTATTTATTTATAATAATTTATTTTTCAAAATAATAATAATGATAAGAAAAAGAAGAAGAAAAAGAACAGAATTAATTTAAATTATGCTGAAGAAAAAAGTAATAATATAAAAAATAAATAATATAATTATTATTCAAATTTAAAAAAATTTATAATTAAATTTGTTTTCAATTTATTATAAAATATAGTAATTTTTTTAATTAATTTTTTTTTTTTTAATAAAATTGTTTTTTAACTTCTTATGAAAAATTGAAATTTATTATTCTTCTAGAATTACCATCTCGACGCATGGACATTTTCCATTGATTGTCGGGCCCTGAGGATGTGACTGTCGATATTTGTCGTGATGAACTTAAAATAATTGGAACGTAAGAATCGGTTGGAAATTTTTGTCGTGAATTTGGACCCAACTGATGATGTGATGATGATGATAATAATTTCATTTCTTGAATTTCAATGTTCTTACTGACAACTTTTTTTAATTCCACTTTTTCACGTTTACTGATACTTCTGTCCTGAATTCTTTGCCTTCGTCGCGCACACTTGTGGGAATTTCCCATTTCTGGAAAGTCCGTCATACAGACTGTTGGAGCCATTTCTATATAATACTTCGATCTGGAAACAAAGAAAAATTTTTTATTTAGTAATTTCTTGAGAAATTAGATTTATGAAATGCTAATTTTAAATGTTATTTGGGTAATTTTTATTAAATTTTATTAAATTTTATTTATTTTTATCAATTTCCATTGTAGAATTTTGATTAATCTTTATAATGGAATTTTTATTAATTTTCATTGTGGAATTTTCGAATATAAATATTTTTAAAAATTACTGACTGCAATGAAAGTCGAAAACGTAAATTTAACAATTTGAATTAGTAGAATTTCGATAATAAATTAGTAAAAATGACTATTTATAAATTTCTATTTTTTAGTAAAATTTCACTAATAAATTAGTCGTTTTTCCAAAACGAGCGTAAATTTAAAAAATTTACTTTTTTCAAAATAAAAAAAACAAGTTAAATAGATATCACTCGTCAGTTTAGAAATTTAGCAGATACTTCTGTTTTTGTTTTGTTATCTTTTTTTTTTTTTTTTTTTGCTCGAATTGAATGCTTTTGAGGAATTAAATAAAGATCAATTAAAATTGATGATTAACAGTAGTTTTTCTTTATGTTCTGGCGTGTATATAGTTTTTGAACGAGTCTATAAATTATACAGAAAATATTTAGGGTTCATTGCTCTTTGATTAAAAAACAGAAGTCTAACACGCACACACGTGCTCTCTATCTTTCTAGGAGGGTAGTTTTGCTTCTCGATAGTTTCAAATAGGAAACAGTTGGGGATCAGAATATAAGATTTTAGGCAAAAAAAAGGGAGGGGAGGGGGCGAATGACAAGGGAACACCCAACAGCCTTGAACATCATATAGGCACACGTGCAGAACCAAATTCTTCGTTCCCAATCATAAATAGTATTTTTGTATTATGCCCTATTTTTCCTATTCGGTATATATATATTTATATACATATAGTATACGCACTTAATATATATGTATATACCTTTACACACACTTATATTTATATATGAATTCATATATTAATTCATCTTCACTCATCGGTTCATTTTTAACAAAAAATTCAGTATTCTTTATAATGAGGAACAAAGAACGGAATCCCAATGAAAAAAATAATGTGTCATACGATCAAAAAACATTCAATTTCATTTGTTTCATCTTTTATGACTTTTTGGAAAAAAAATTTTCTTTCTTTGAAACATTTTCTAATATAAAAGATTTTTCTCGAAATTTTGAATTATTTTTTTATCAATCTTTCTCTCTAAATTTGAAGTTGTTAAAATGTTAACTAATTTTTATAATTGAAATTATGCAGGTTCATGATTTTATGCGATTTACAATAAAAATAAGATATTAGAAAATTGTTAAAAAATAATTATTAAGAAATGGAAAATATTTTTCATTGCCAATTTTCATCACGCAAAATTATAAGTTTCTTTTGAAAAAAAAATAAGTTGCATATAATTTCTATTTCATAATTACAATTTTTATGCAAAATCCTAGTTTTTTTTTTAAAGAAAAAAAAAATAAATAAAGATGGACTATTTATATATTTTTCAATTACAAAACATTCATTCTTTTTAGAAATAAATAAAAAAAATTTGCATACTTTCTATATTCTCATCACAATTTTTAAATTTCAGAAATTTGTTTAAATTTGTGATTTGTCAATCACAATCTTTAATTAATACAAATAAAAATGAGAAGATTAAAAGATTTTTATAAAATAAAGGAAAACTATTTTCATAATTTTGATGTTTTAAATCATATTTATTTGATTAAAAAATTGTCATTGTGAAAGAAAAATATTATACTACATTTTTTTCTTTTTTCAAAAAAACAATGATATAATCTTGTAATAATATAAGAATTATTATTGACAAATCAAAATCATGCTAATTTTTTTACTTTTAAATAAAAAAAAAGTAAAAGTTTTGTTGAAAAATTTTATTTAACAAATCGCAAGCATTTTTATTTATTTCTGAAAAAATTTGAAAGTTATTCAACAAAATTCCAAGTAATTAAAAAAATTTAAAGAAATTTACATAATTTTTTATTTTTTAATCACGATTTTTACGAAAATTCCTATTTTTTAAAAATAAATGAAAAATTTGGTAGAATTTCTATTTATAACAATAAAAAATAGGAAAAGGAGAAAGAAAATTGAGACAAAAAACAAATAAAAAATGTTGTGAAATTTTTGAAATTTTTGGTAATAATATACAAAATTTTTTATTACAATGGAATATTGTTAAAAAAATTGTCATTGAGAAAGAAAAATTATGCTACATTTTTTCCTTTTTTCAAAAAAAAAAAATAATAATCTTGTAATAATATAAGAATTGTAATTGACAAATCAAAATCATGTCAATTTTTTTCATTTTATTTAAAAAAAAAATAAAAGTTTTGTTAAAAAATATTATTTGACAAATGGTAAGCAGGTTGTTTTATAAAAATTTTGAAAGTTATTTAACAAAATTCCAAGTAATTAAAAAAATGTAAAAAATGTTCATAATTTTCTATTTTTTAATCACGATTTTTAAGGAAATTTCTATTATTTAGAAATAAATGAAAAATGGGGTGGAATTTCTATTTATAATAGTAAAAAAATAGGAAAACTAATCAATGATTGTAATTATAATTAAAATTATTATTATCGTTATTATTATAACTATATTTTTTCTAAGGATATCAAATTGAGACGAAAAACGAATCAAAACGATTGATTCGTTTTTCGTCTCAATTTGATATTCTTAGAAAAACTTTGATTGATTATAATTTTTTTATTGATTGATAATAATTCTTTTACATTATAATTAATAATTATATTTATTATTGACATAATGTGTGAATATCAATAAAACCGTGTTTAAAATTATAGAAATGAAAAAATTAAATATCGGCTTCTTGACTGATGCGATAATATGACAAATTTCTTTTTGAAAAGGGTCTCGACTTAATTTTTCTTGACACATTGAACAATGGGTCCGGGAAGCGAAGAAAAAAAAAAGGCGCCACGTGCGTGTTCAATGTGTATAATTACTTTATAGTGTTGGTCAAGTTCGTCCTCTAAATTCTCTCTCACTCTCTCATTTCTTTCTCTTTCGATTTGTTAATATTATAGTATTCACCTCTCGCCTAACATATAATAGGGACATATAGTCATGGTATAATTGTAATGTGTCACACGTGTGAATTTGTGTTTGAAATATTTAGACAATTTAGAACAAAAATTATGCAAATTGAAAAATTAATTAACAATTTGTATGTAATTCGCAGATAAACTTTCGTGTTTTATGTTTTTAATGGTCACAACTTTATTCTCTTTAATGAATAATAATTTTAATTTATGGGAAATTAAATCATAAATAATTGCGGCAACATTTTTTATGCGAAAAGAATTTTTTTAGTTTAAAAATGTTTATATTTATAAAAAAAATTAATTATTTATAATAAGTAAATAATTATTGCTTAGACTTTCTTTCAAATTTTTTTATTTTAAAAAATACGCGGGACAAGCACTTTTGTATTTTTTTAGTTTAATAATAGTGTTTATACTCTCTAAATTTGAATTAGTAAAAATATTTATTAATTTGAACTAGTGACTGAATTTTTGCTTTTAAAATAGTAAATTTTACTAATAAATAGTAATTTCTACTAAATTTATTAGTAAATAAATTATTTACTAGTAAAAAATTAAATTATTTATTTAAATTAAATTATTTATTAGTAAATATCTATTTTACTAATAAATAGTAATTTCTACTAATTTAATAGTAAAATTTACTAATTCAAAAGCAAAAAATCAGTCATTAGTAAACATTTTTAATTTTTACTAATTTAAATTTAGAGAGTAAATACTATTAAATAAATAAGTTATTTATAATAAATAAGTAGTAGGAAATAAGTAGAAAAAAATAACAATAAATAAATAGAAGTGAATAAAAAAAATATTACGTAAATAATAAATAATTTATCTTTAAATTAAAAAATAGGTGATTGAAATAGATTATGCAATATATTTGACAAATATTACATCATGTAAATAATGATGATTATAAAATATTAATTTGCAGTTTTAAAGTTATATTTAGAAATACCTAATTATATTTTTAGAATTGAAAACTTGCATATAGTGAAGCACAGTTCTTTTGTTTTTTTTTCCTTTTAAAGACCATTCGCCTAAGTATCATATTTATAAAAAAAAAGTTGCTGTTCTAACACACTTGTAATCTTTTCGGTTACATAATTCATTCGAATTTAATATTTTATTTGATATTTTAACAGATGTAAGTAGGCAAAAAAGGAAAATAAATTGATTCAATATTTCTAAAAGACATCAAAATATTCAATCCTGAATTTCAGGGTGTATTTTGGTTCAACAAATTTCTTGGCTTTGTCCTAATTTTTCCCACTTTTTTTCTCATCAAATTTAAATTTATTTAATTTCGAACATAAATAAATCTACAAATGGCTTCCAAATATTTTATTAGATTTTTCATGGATAATTAAATTCTTTTGACCAGTTTCTTTAAATTTTTTGAAAATAATCTTTTTTTAATAATTTTAATTAAAAATTTGGAAAATAATTGAATTAAACAAAGAATTTATTCAATTTTTAAAATGATCTTGTCTGTTCATAATTATAATTGAAAATTTGATTAATTTAATTTTATGAAAATGTATTAAAACTAATTGAATTTCTGCAAAGAATTTTACTATTTATTAAAGTAATTAAATCCTTCAAAAGAATGTTATTATTTATGAAAATAATTAAATGTTTGCGTAAAATTTTATTAAAATAATTGAATTGTGGAGAACAATTTAATTATTTATAAAAATAATTGAAATTTTGAGGAGAATTTAAACAAATTTTTAAATATATTTGAATTTCTGCGAAGAATTTTATTACTTTTGAAAATAATTGAATTGCTTTTTTTTAGAATTTAATGGAAATTTATGAAAATAATTGAATTCTTATGAAGAATATTTTTTAAAAATAATATTCCAAAGAATTTAGTAAATCTGAAGAATTTTGCT